CCAGATGTTTTGGCCTACAACTCCCATGATCCCTAGCTACCAGGACCAGTGCTCATGGATGATAGGAACTGTAGTCCAAAACATCTGGAGGACCGAAGGTTGGGGATGCCTGCCCTAAGCCATACCACCCATCTGTTTCTGGCTGTGTTTGGGGGAAGGGGAAGCCCCAAGATTTATGGGTGCTGCTGGTGTCCGTTTTCCCAGAATGCTGTCTGCAGCATGAGCAGAGAATGCAAACAGAAGAGAAGTGGAGAAGGAGGCAGAGTTTGTTAATATCATTTCTCCTGCTTCGCAATGTTGCAAAAATGATACCTTGCAGTTTCTTGCTGCCTCTTGCAAAAGTCCAGTGGAAAGGAAAGACTCCCTCAATGCAATCTGAGTTCATTTTCTCATTCCTGGCATTGGAATTTTGCAATCCAGCCTGCAGAACTGAAAACACTTCTTCTCCTTTGTTTTATGATATCCTTTGTAAAGAAAAAGAGAAGTGTGAGCTAGTGCCTGGTGAGGGTTGCTAGGAAGTCAAGGGGTGCAACCAATTTGTTCTGGTTTCCTTCCTGTCCACCTCTTCTTTTGCAAAGATTCTATGGGCACTTAAGCATTGCACTTGTGCAGTACTTAAAACATAACTAAACTGAAAAGTGTATTGGGCCCATCTGCATAGTATTATGTCAGTGTTATGCCAATTTAAACAATCATGGCTTCCCCCAAAGAATTCTGGGAGCTGTAGTTTGTTAAGAGTTCTAAGGAGACCTCTGTTCCCCCTAAGAGAGCTACAGTTATCAGAGTAGTTTAACAACCACTCCCTCTTTGCAGGGAATTCTGGAAATTATAGTTCTGTGAGGGAATGGGGGGGTGTCCTAAGAAATCTTGGGGGGGGGGCACTTGGTAGAATGTACTTTCTTTATTCAGTGATTTGACACCTTGACTTAAAAGACAGAAAGTGGTGAAGATGGATGTTGTCATGGACTGAGTAATCATATTTTCTTTCTTTATATAGCCAGCAGATGGAAAATCAGAAGTGTTTCTTTTGTATCTTTGGCTTTTGTATCTTTTCTTTCTTCTGGTTTTACTTATTCAAGTTGTATCTTCTGTAGTTGTAATTTTACTGTTTTATGGGAAAATCTTAATAAAAGATCTTAAACAAAAATCAGGGAGAGAGAGCTAAATCTAGGCAAGCAACAGGCATTCTTGTAGTTCATAGATGCACACCAGCTTGGCAAAAGCACTTGGGGAAACTGAAAGCAGGATCAGGGAGGGTTGTGGGAGAGCAGGCATGGGAAGAGATCAGTGATCCCTGGTGGGCTGCAGTTGCCCCTGGAATCTCATTTGAACCTTGCCCTTTATCCATTTGGGTTTACTTGGCAATAATAATAATAATTTTTTATTTATACCCCGCCCTCCCCAGCCAAGGCCGGGCTCAGAGCGGCTTACAAGCAATAATAAAAACAAGTTAAATGATTACAACTTAAAAACAAAATTAAAAAATACAACATTAAAATATTGAAACATTAAAAAATTAAAATGTAGCCTCATCGCAGGAGGAGAAGGAAAAGAAAAAAGAAAGAGAGGGAGGGAGGGAATCAAATTGGCTCCAAGCCAAAGGCCAGGCGGAACTACTCTGTCTTACAGGCCCTGCAGAAAGAAATCAGATCCTGCAGGGCCCTGGTCTCATGAGGCAGAGCGTTCCACCAGGCCGGAGCCAGAGTTGAAAAGGCCCTGGCTCTGGTTGAAGCCAATCTAACTTCCTTAGGGCCTGGGACCACTAGGGTGTTGTTATTTATGGACCTTGAGGCTCTCCGTGGGGCATACCAGGAGAGGCGGTCCTGTAGGTACGAGGGTCCTAGGCCGTGAATATATATTATTATATTTAATAAATAAATATTATTTATTAATAATAAAAATGTGTGGTATGTTAATTTTACATATATATAATGCCCACCAAACACAGTTTGCCAGAAGAAATTGAAGTGAAATGTTTGATAGGGTGTGTCTATGTATGGATTCATTTGAAGGCTCTTATTGTTTACATACCCACCAAACTTACATTTTTGCATCATTGTTTGTGGCTCATACTCAATCATGGTTCAGAGTTGGGAAACCTGTGACCCTTCAGTTCCAACCAGCATGGCCAGGCCTTAAGGCTAATAATAATAATAATAATAATAATAATAATAATAAATTTTATTTATACCCCGCCCTCCCTGGCCAGAGCCGGGCTCAGGGCGGCTAACACCAGTAAAATTACAGTAAGAACATAATGGGGTGGGGGAATTAAAATGCAGGTTAAAATGCAAATTAAAATGCAGCCTCATTTTAAAAGTAGCCCATAGATCAAAACCATAAGGGGAGGGGAAAATAAGGGTCAGACCAAGTCCAAACCAAAGGTCAGGCAGAACATCGCTGTCTTGCAGGCCCTGCGGAAAGATGTCAAGTCCCACAGGGCCCTGGTCTCTTGTGACAGAGCGTTCTACCGAGTCAGGGCCAGTACTGAAAAGGCCCTGGCCCTAGTTGAGACCAATTTAACCACCTTGAGACTTGGGACCTCCAAAATGTTGTCATTTGTGGACCTTAAGGTCATCCGCGGGGCATACCAGGAGAGGCGGTCCCGTAGGTACGAGGGTCCTAGGCCGATGGGAGCTATAGTCCAGCAACATCTGGAAGACCAGGGGTGTATTGAGCCCTGCAGCAACATTGAGCTTGGACTGGCAGGCTTGGATTGAGGAGGAGGAAGAAATGAGTGTGGTGGCTGAGTGGTGGGGGATCTGGTTTGATCTGCCCCGACCAGACTCTTTGAAAGTTAGAGCGGAACTGCTGTGCCTTCCCCACCCCCTTCCTGTGGAGCAGAGAGACTCAATGAAGGCTGGGGAGGCTTTGATAACCAAGGTGTGACAAAAGTGTGCAGTCTCGTTATCTAGAACGAGATGCCGCCCTTGTTGTGGGAACAGACAACCCCACCCCAAAAGCACATGCACTTGTAGTCCCATAATTCTTACAGAGTGAGAGAGTCTCGAGAATAAGACTGCCCTGTCTTGTCTTTAAGAGCTTGGTGGGCAGGCCAAGTACTGGGAACTTAATGCAGGGACACCTGCAGTTCTGAATTTCTTGCCCTTGCTCCAGAACCCGTGATTCCTGAACCCTGAGCCTGCACTTTTACTTGCCTTACTTTTACTTTCAAGTAAGAGCCTCCACTTGTGTCTTTTTGGGGTGGGAGGATGGACAAAAAGGGTTCCCTACACCTGGCTTAGGTATTCATGTGGAATAGGTTAACCATGGTTAAAGGGAAACAACCCCTGGTTAAGCATTTGGTCTGCAGAAGCCTTGGGAATAAGATCAAATAAATATTCTTCCCCATCTCCACAGAACTCCCAGAGAAAATATGGGAGAAAATTACTTTTCTGTGCAATGCCGGATTGAACGCTTGATCTGCTGTTGCAATAGAAGACAAATACGGCTTCTACATACTTGATTCCCTTTTCCTGTAACTGAATCCAAGGCCAGGAAAAATCTCCGTGTGAACTCTGTGTCACATTCCTGAATATGATCTCATGTTCCTTTTTTAGATGCAGCATTTCATATTTTGGGCAGTCGCCGAAATTCTCTGGGAGGGGCGATTATGATGGTGATAGACTCTATCTCCACTATCACACCCCTTTACACAGCCGTGTTTCCCCCCAAGTAATCCTGTAGTTTGTTCAGGGTGCTGGGAGTTGCTAGAAGACTCCTTCATTTACAGGGCTACAATTCCCAGAGTTCCTTTCGGGAAGAGGGATTAACATATGCAGGGATGACTGGAACTATCAATTTTGCTTCTCATGGTTTCTCAAGTTTCCAACTTTAAATTCATTTCTCTACATTTTTGCAATAAATTGCATGTGTTGTTTTTTAAAAAAATCGTCATGAAAATTTGCCAGCATTTTTGTGCAAATGTGTCATAAGAAACCAATTTGTGTGTGTGTGCAGTTTTGACTAAGGTACACATTCCCCCCCCCCTCCCGCAAGCAGTTTCCTTTTCTTTGCAAGCAGTTTTCATTTTCATGAATGTGTGCCCTGATGCACTTTTTATGAACAGTGGTTAGAGAATTGCATTGCAAAAATTGAATAAGTGTGAATTTCTGGCTAGACTGCATTTACCTCTGGTTGGGCCTTGGCACAGAGCAGGTGTGAGCTGTAGCCAAACTTGTCTTCCTGCATCCTATAAAGATGCCATGTCTGTCTGAGCAATAAGGGAGATCACTGGTCATGCTCCTCGTACAAATCCCCTCATGCTTTACCACTCCTGACTTGGCAAGGGCTAGGACTGACAATGGAGAACAATGCACCTTGAATTGATTCATCTGGTATCAGGCAGGAAAAGGGCTTTCTCTGTGGTGGCACCTACAGTATGGCATTATGGAACAGTTTCTTCTTAGAGATTCACCTTCAGTGTTGTGTCCCTGTCAGTAGTCAGATACATTCTTGTTCTAGATGCAATGATCAGTTTTGTTACTGATTATTGGCTGCTTATGATGTGTCTGGGACGCGGGTGGCACTGTGGGTTAAACCACAGAGCCTAGGACTTGCCGATCAGAAGGTTGGCGGTTCAAATCCCTGCTCCCGTTGCTCGGTCCCTGCTCCTGCCAACCTAGCAGTTTGCAGCCTAGTCATGCTGGCCACATGACCCGGAAGCTGTACGCCGGCTCCCTCGGCCAATAAAGCGGTAACCCCAGAGTCGGTCATAACTGGACCTAATGGTCAGGGGTCCCTTTACCTTTTACCTTATGATGTGTCTATTCAAAGTTTTATTGCTTGACAGTTTGTGCATCACTTTGATACATTTTGTTAAATGTGGTAAGAAATCTTTAAATAAAATAAAACTTTGAAGGGATGCAGCTCATGTATTTGTTCCAGAAGTGCAAATTAGGTTAAAATGCAAACATAACTGAATTTCTCCCTCTTCCCTACACAGAAGCAATAGAAGCCCATTTAATGCATGTGCACTTTTTTTCTCCCTTTTCTTCCAGAGGGCTCTGAAGGAAGCATTGGAGTCTGTGGGTGGATCCTGGTTATGGTCTCGTTCTTTTTGGTTACCATCACTTTCCCATTATCCATCTGGATGTGCATAAAGGTAAAAAATAGTTGGTTGGAAAGCAGTTGTGACCTAGGATTCCTTCCCCACTCTAAACAGATCAGCGACTGTACGTTGTAGCTGACCTTAGAGCTGGAAGCGACCCAAAGGGTCATGTCTGGCCCCTGCAATGCAGGAATCGGAGCTAAAGAATTCCTGACAGATGGCCATTCAACTTTTGTTTAAAAAGCTCCAATGAAGGCAGATTTCACTACCTTCTGGGGGAGTCCACTCCTTAAATGGCTATTCTTGCAGAAGAGAACTTCAGAGGGAGACTGCATTATGAGGCCATCAGGTTACAATTAATCAAGAGGTCCACTAGTGAACTGAATCTGGACAAAAGTGTTTTAAAAAACCCAACAACCCACAGCATGTATTAATTGATTTGCCAATGCCAGGCTGCCTGTGTTGTCAACAATTAGGTTTTTTTTTGCATAACGTAATTATCATAATCTGTACTTTACTGTATTTTTCATTTCCTTCTCACTTCACTGTTTACATTTCTGATCCCCTGACTCCTTAACCATGTGTATATATTCACCTGCAACTCACTACAAGACTTCATGCATCTGATGAAGGTGTCTGTAGTCCTGAAGAGCTCATGCAATAAAGAAATGTGTTAAGTCTTTAAAGTGCCACAAGCCTCTTTGTCAAGAAACTTCTCATGAAGCACAATTTTTATATGAAAAAGATCAGGGTCGTCTTTCAGCTTGATAGGAAGAGCATGAAGTTGTAGTCTCTCTACGTAGTTGCAGAATCTTATGCCTTGTTTTGCCCCCTTAAAAAGACTTCTCTTCTTATCTGAAATGAGCTAATTACAAATGTGGCCCAAATAGCATCAAGGATAGCCTGAAATGTGCAGAATGAAAGGGAACAAAACCGCAACCCCCCCCCCCAACTGACTTCCCCCCCTCATTGCAGATTGTCAAGGAATATGAGCGAGCCATCATATTTCGGCTTGGACGTATCCTAAAAGGAGGTGCAAAGGGGCCAGGTGAGTATTTGCTGTTATGGTCTGTCTTGCCAAAGGCAAGGGGGTTCTTTCTGTGCGATTTGGAAGCAAGACAAGACACAAGTGGTGAAGAAGTCTTAAGATTTATTAGACAGCATGCTGATAAGGGATAAGAATTTACCACCCTAAGCAAGCAATACCTCTGTTTAGCTGCTGGGAGCTCCAGAGGTACAGCAGCAGAGAGGACCCCAGCTGCAGTCAGCCACCAAGCGACGTAGCACCCCAGGAGAAGTCACACAATTTAACAACATTAAGCTGTTTAGTAAGGCTAACTGCTGCCTAGGGGAAGCCTCATATTGGTGGCATGAAGGAGCAATTGTGTCAGGCCATTCCACCTCCTTGATGTACAGTGCTGTGTTTCGCATACATGGTCCCACATGTGGCTGAATTTCCGTGTGGCTGGTCAGCTGCATTGGAGCTGGAGCACTGGTGGTGCCCTCCCCCGGGTCTCTGGCCTGGGGGAGGGCACCATCAGTGCTCCAGCCCCCATGCAGCTTCATGCATTTGCACCAAGACTGGTGCCTGGTGCAGTGTTGCTGAATTGACTTTGTCCCATGCACTTCAATATACCTTCCGACCTCTTCCTTGCACATGCCCTAGAGTTGTTGTGTCTAACAACTGCACTTTTGTTTTCCAACAGGTCTGTTTTTCGTATTGCCCTGCACAGACAGCTTTATCAAAGTGGACATGAGGACCATATCATTTGATATACCGCCACAGGAAGTGAGTATTCCCTTTCCTTGACCTCTTTCTTCTCTTCCCCCTACTAAATACTGGATATAAATAGGCTAGTCAAGTTTCTCTCCCCACCCAACCCCCACCCCATGGCTTTCTCACACCCGCTGCCCCTCTTCCATGGTCTCGAATTTCAGGCAAGAGACATTCCCAGTCCTACTTGGAGGTGCCATCGGGAATTAAACACAGGATGCTCTTCATGCAAAGCAGGTGCTCTGCTGCCAGATTGTGGCACTTCCCCTTAAATATAAAGTAATATTCTAGTTCTCAAAGGGATGAATTAAATAGGAACATAGGAAACTTCTTCTGAGTTAGACCATTGGTCTATCTAGTTCAGTATTATCAACACTCTCCAGGGTTTCCTACAGGAGACATTCAGAGAGGGAGTCTTTCCTAGCCCTAACTGGAGATGCCAGGGACTGGAGTCAGGAACTTCTGCATGCAGAGCAAGTGCTCTGACACTGAGTATTTATGTCCCTTCTGGTTCTCTGCCACCAGTTCCCTTGCTGCTGTGACTCTCAGCAATCCATCTGCAAGATGGATAGTATCTTGCACTTAAGGGCTCAGATATATAGCTAACATGTCATCTAGCTTGGTCCGGAACTCCTCCATGCAGTGAGGCAATCTCTGCCATGGCCTCTGTCAAAGCAGACCATTTGGAATGAAGGCCAGCATGGAGGGTTTCGGTTTTGTTCCAGGCAGCCGTCTGCCACTTATCCTGCAATGACTTTTTCCTCTGGCAGTAACTGTTGTGGAACTGGCTCGGAATGAATTGCTTAGGAACCTAATAATCATCATTAGGCTTAATGTGTTTGCTGCCAGGAATGTACCCTTAGTGAGCCTCCTCCCCACCCCTCATTTCCTCCTGGCTTTTCTGTAATTCAATTCTGTTGTGCCTGTGGTTTTTGCAAGCAACAGGGTTGCAGGGTATTTATTTCATTAGGTAGGGATGGGTTTCTTTTACGTGTTTCTTTTCTTGCTTCCTTAATTGAAAGTTAATGATGTTGTCAAGGTGCCGGAAAACCCCAGGGTACAGTTCTGCTGCAGGGCTGGGTAACCTTGGCTGCCTAGGGTCAATGCGACCTTCCAGGACTCTCAGGACTCTCCTGAAGCCACTCCCTCTTCTCTCAGGCCACACCCCTCACCTGTCTTGCTTTGCACCCTCCTTGAGTCATTTTGCGTGGTTGGAATGCATGCTTGAACTCTGATTATGCCTCTTGGTCTTCTGGATAGAGGCTAGAGAGCTGTGTGTGTGTGTGCGCGTGTGTGTGTGCAAACTAGCTCCACCCACTTTTGCCTCTGGCCCCACCCACCACTGGAATTTGGCTCCTGGAATGTTGTCCGGAAGCAGATGTGGCCCTCAGGCTGGAAACGTTTCTGCATCCCTGAACTAAGAGTTGCTGAGTTATTAAAACGTCTTTAGGAAGGGAATGATGAGGGGGTGGGTGGAGGGGAAAAACCCTGATCAGCCTAGTAAGGACTGAGTATGCTTAGTGAGCAGAGAATGCTGACTGACTGTTGAAGGGAGGCAGGGAGGTGTAAAACTAGTTCGGAGGCGGAATAGAAAGGAGTATCGTGGAGGAGGGCATGACGGACTTACTGGAAAAGGAGCACTGCATGCTGCAACATTTGATTGCAGATCCCATTTGTATACAGTGGTACCTCGGGTTACATACGCTTCAGGTTACAGACGCTTCAGGTTACAGACTCCGCTAACCCAGAAATAGTACCTCGGGTTAAGAACTTTGCTTCAGGATGAGAACAGAAATCAGGCTCCAGTGGCGCGGCGGCAGCGGGAGGCCCCATTAGCTAAAGTGGTGCTTCAGGTTAAGAACAGTTTCAGGTTAAGAACGGACCTCCGGAACAAATTAAGTACTTAACTCGAGGTACCACTGTATGTCTATCCATCAGTCCTAATGCATTCCACTCAGCATTTGAGATCCTGCTTCTGTCTTTTCAGCCAACATAAGTAGGATGGGCAGCCATGAGAAGCATAGTCTTCTTTGGAGTGACACTAATCCCATGGAATGCCCTCCTTAGGGAAGCTCACCTAGCCCCTTCATTGTATGCCAGTGGTGGCCAAACTCGGCCCTCCAGATGTTTTGGGACTACAATTGCCACCATCCTTGACCACTGGTTCTTTTAGCTAGGGATGATGGGAATTGTAGTCCCAAAACATATGGAGGGTTGAGTTTGGCCAACACTGCTGTATTCCTTCTGGTGTCTCCATGAGTCCTGTGAGGTTTGTTAAAGACACTAGTGGGCGATGGCTGGGTTTTCTGCCAGAGAGAACCCATTCCATGCCTAATTTTATAAACTTCTATCATGTCTCTTGAAGCTCGCCTTTTCTGTAAACTGAAAAGCTCCTTTGATCCTCCTCCTTTCTTCTTCACTGTTTTCATGAGCCGCTGTTCTTTTGATGACTTTTGCCCAGTTGTTTGATGATTTTGCATGTCTGCTGCTGCTTTTAATTACTTCCCCGTTTCCATAGAATCTGTGTTTTCATGCTACAATTTGTTGCAGTTGCTCTGGTTTCTTTCCAGAAGAGGATGGCAGCTCATTCATAAACCATCTCAAGATTTCTAGGGGCTGAACAAAGATTAAGAAAACCAGGCAGCCCTTTGCAGACAGCTTCCAATAAAATAGACATGATACCAAAGGAAAAAGGAGACAGGAAGAGATAAGGAAAACAAGCAAATTCAGGCGCTCCTGCTTCATTGTTTACATAAAGATAAACTCCCAGTTTGCATGCTATGTGACTGACAAGAGAAAGTTCACACAGCATATACTTAAACCACAGAATTCACTGCCACTAGCGCCCAATCCACACTACACATTTAAAACAGTATTATACCACTTTAAACAGTTGTGGCTTCCTGAATTGCAGTTCCTTAAGGATGCTGAAGGTTGCTAGGCATTCCCCATTCCCCTCATAAAGCTACAGTTCCCAGCGTTCCCTGGGAAAAGGGACTGGCTGTTAAACCATGGGAATTGTGTGATGGGGGAATAGAAGTCGCCTATCAACTCTCAATGCTCTTGTCAAACACTGAGGACTAGTAAGCTTCTTGCAAGGCAGCTGTATCGGTTCCTCAATAAGAGGGTCATATCTCGCTTAGTAAAGCTGAGGGTGGCACTGGTTCTTCTGTGTATCGCAGAAGCCAAATAAAGGAGCTATTGGCTAGTAATTACCTTGCTTGCGTTTCTTAAAATAGAAACTGCTGTGGCTGTGGCTGTGGTTGCAAAGACATTACACAGATCTCAGTTAGGACTTGATTCTAAATAACATTAAAATCAGATTAATATAATCACAGCCATTCCACTTGGAGATGTTCTATGTTCCACCCACACCCACATACCCTGGTGTTGGAGGCAGTATTCTTCTGAATGCCAGTTGTGGAGAATTCCAAGTGGAGAAGCTGCTGTTACACTCAAGTCTTGCTTCTGGGCTTCCTGTTCAGGTAGCTGTTGGCCACTGTGAGGACAGGATGCTGGACTCGATGGGCCATTGGCCTGATCCAGCAGGGATGTTCTTAGAAATAACTCTGCTTCAGCTGCAATACAGTCACTGAGAAAGCACAGGGGGTGAGGAGTCGGACACACTCCTGTTTCTCATCTCTGCAGTACAGTCATACCTCGTTACGTCCGCTTCATGTTACATTCTTTCAGGTTATGTCCCGCGGCGACCTGGAAGTACCAGAAAGGGTTACTTCCAGGTTTCGCTGCTCACGCATGTGCAGATGCGCAAAATGACGTCACGCACATGCGCAGAAGCAGTGAGTTGCAACCTGCGCGTGCGCAGACGCACTGCTGCGGGTTGCGTTCTTTTCATGTTGCGAATGGGCCTCCGGAATGGATCCCGTTCGCAACCAGAGGTACCACTGTATCAGTAAAAGGAGCAGTAATATCCCTGGTCATTTCAAAGGTGACATGGAACTTTATTCTGTTGAAAATTATTGAGTCTCTTTAAGAAACGATTAGATGTGTGTGGCTTTCTTTGGCTTTGTGCACACACTATACCTTCAGAGCACATTTGAAGCACATTCTTTCTCTCAAAGAATTCTGAGCACTGTGGTCAAGCCTTCCCAGAGTTAAACTTCCCAGCAACCCTTAACAAACTACAGTGCCCAGAATTCCTTGAAGGGGAAGAATGCATTTCAAATGTGCTTTAAAGATGTACTGGATACACAGCCTCAATGGCATTAAGTTTTGCTTCTCTCTCTTTACTCACACCATTGGTCCATCTAGCTTAACAACTTCTGATAGGTTTACCTACAAGATCGCCTTACCCCACATGTGCCCACTCGACCGCTTTGTTCGCTGAAATTGGCACTGGTACCACATAATACCCATTCTGCATTTGTAAGGATGCAATCGTTAAGTCTGACAGCACCTGCATTTTGGAATTTACTGCCTACTGAAATCAAGCAGGTGCCTTCACTTTACTCTTTTCGGTGTCTGCTAAAAATTCTTGCTTAGACAAGCCTGCCCACATGCTTGCCTTACCCAGTGTTGAGGGTATCCAATGCTAGTCCTATTCAGAGCCGACTTATTGAAATGGATGAGCCATACTAACATAGGTGCATGAACATCAATAGGTCTGGTCTGAGTAAAACTCAGTTGGCTAAAACCCACTGTGTTTGTTTTTTAGAGATGATGCAAGGTGCTTGGGGACCTCTGTGTAACAAGCAGCCTACAATAATGTAAATAATATTGGCCTGTGCAAAGTTTTCCACCTTCTCTTCCTGTTCCCTTCCTTGTGTTTGTGTCTTATTAGATTGTACATCTGCAGGCTCAGACCTGCAGTGTTGATATACAGCACAGGAGAAGCCCTGCAGTGCACTAGAAGCTTGCTGGACATCCCTCAGTGAGCAAATCCATAGAGGCAGATGTTTTCCTGCAGGACAGCTTATCCCATAATGCCAATTCTATCCTGTGGTATTCAGCCTCTCAGGGGGAGTTGGGGTGTGTTCGAAAGTGTGATGGTGAGGCATCACTGAGCCTGGGAGGTTCTGCATGCAGATGAGATAGTCAACCCTGGGCAAAGTTCTCCGTAAACCTCTTGGAATTAATTGCTGTGTTTCCTGAAATGGTTTTTTTTAATTTGCATGCTTTGCCCCCCTTGAAGCTGTGTGAAAATATTTCAGCAAAGCAATTTTCTCTAATAGAATATGATGATTTTATAAAATGATATAAGCTGTGAATGCCTTGGGGCAGGTATCCTTCCCGCACCCTTCTGGTTTCTGTTAACTCCTTAATGTGTACGTGTGTGGTTGGTGCTATATAATTACTGAAAGGCACACACTGGAATATGCCGCATCTTCCTTGTTACAGGGCTGCTACACACATGGCACACTGGCACAGCCTGAGGCAGTTGGGTGCCAGGGTGTGCCCCTGCAGAAGCTGGCATTGCCCGAGTTATTTGCTGCCACAACACCTGCCCCATCCCATTCTCAAGGGAATTGGGCATTTAAGCACCTAGGCAACCAGTGTCTTGAGCGCTGGCAGTGTACAGCCCATCTGTAGCGGTAGCTGGATTCAAACCTAGCAGATGCCATGGGAGAGGTGAAGTGCTGAACAACTTGGCAGTGTGTGTGTGTGTGAGAGAGAGAGAGAGGGTTAAATATGCTTGTTGAAAAGCATCATATTCTATTAATGCTACATTTTGGTATTTCAAAAATCACTTGTGCTTTCTGCGGATCTGCCAAAGATCAGCATGTAGAAGGGAAAGAATCAGAACCTTATTTGGTGTCTGCATAAGGCAGTAAAAGGGACCCCTGACAGTTAAGTCCAGTTGCGAACGACTCTGGGGTTGTGGCGCTCATCTCGCTTTACAGGCCGAGGGAGTCGGCGTTTGTCTACTCTGCAGACAGTTTTTCTGGACCATGTGACTAGCATGACTAAGCCGCTTCTGGCGCAATGGAACACCAACACCAGAGCAGCGCACAGAAACACCATTTACCTTCCCACCGGAGCGGTGCCTATTGATTTACTTGCACTTTGACGTGCTTTCGAACTGGCAGGTTGGCAGGAGCAGGGACTGAGCAACGGGAGCTCACCCCATTGCGGGGATTTGAACCGCCAACCTTTTGATTGTCAAGCCCAAGGCTCAGTGGTTTAGACCACAGCGCCACCCGCGCCACCCTTTTGGATAGCAGAGTGCTATCCAAAAAAGCATGGTGCCATGGGATAGAAGTCCGTATGGAGCTTCTCAGTGTTCTGTAACCTTAGTGTTGAAAGGTGGCTTCTCCGATGACTTAGCCAGGTGCAGAATACCTGTTGCAAGCCCACCGATGGTACAATTGGAGAAATGAGCACATGCACAAAATGAACAACTCACATGGTGTTTGAAATAGGGAACTTGAAAAAAAGCTCCTTTGTGACTGTCAGGTAGCAGGCAGTCTGATCATGACCGCCTAATTAGCAGCATGCTACTTGTGGCACCTCTTTGTGGTTATGTTTTGATGCATGAGTGACTTGGAGATTCTTTTTTTAATTCTTCCGTTCCACATTTCTCTCTTCTCTCCCCTCCCCCTGTTTCTGCCCTAGATTCTTACCAAAGATTCAGTGACAGTTAATGTGGATGGCGTGGTTTATTACCGAGTTCAGAATGCAACCCTTGCTGTTGCCAACATCACCAATGCGGACTCAGCCACTCGGCTCCTGGCTCAGACCACACTGAGGAACGTTCTTGGGACCAAGAACCTCTCTCAGATCCTCTCTGACCGGGAGGAAATCGCCCACAGCATGCAGGTACAGCAATGTTGAGCTCCATCCCCATAGGGGTGTGGGGTAGGGAGTTGTTGAGAAACATACTTCACTGTTTAGACAGGTGATTTTTTTTTTTTCATCAGCCACTAAATTTTGCAATTTAAAAATACAATGCAAAAATCCAGTGGAAGCTGGTCCTTTAGGGTAAGTGGGGCACTGCCCCACCAGTCCTAATCTGCCCTCAGCCAACCCCTGCCTGCCTTCTTCCTTATGTCCAGTTCAGGGGGTGTGGCACTGCCTATAACTCCCTCTACTTTGGTCTCTGACCACATTCACATCATGCTTTTAAAGCCCCACATGGGATTCCTAAAGGATTATGGGAGCTGTAGGTTGTTAAGAGTCTCTTATCTTTCAATGAAAGCTCAGAGCCTGGGTCACCTGCCAGCTGAAAACACAACAAGGAAGGATATTTAACACCTTGCAGGATGGAAGGCTGTTCATTTGTCCTGTTGAGACTTGTTTAAACCTCCAGTCACCTCTGTTTGATTAGCTTGGCATCTTTGCACAATACCTCGATGTGTGACATGCATTCCTGCCCCCACCCTTTTAAACAGGCCACACTAGATGATGCCACAGATGATTGGGGCATAAAGGTGGAGCGGGTGGAGATCAAAGATGTGAAGCTGCCCATCCAACTCCAGAGAGCCATGGCCGCTGAAGCAGAAGCTACCCGCGAAGCAAGAGCAAAGGTAAGGAGCTCTACTGGTTTGGTTAGTCGCTGACTTTCAAAGGAGATCCATCACCGAAAGAGATCAGAGATGGGGATCCTGCGGCCCTTCCGTTGTTGTTGGACTACACATCCCATCATCACTGACCATTAGAAATGCTGGCATAAACCAACTTGCTGGCTAAACCTCCTATTAAACCAGCTTTACCTGACCTGGTGCACTGCAAATGCAGTTGGACTACAACTCCCATCATCCCTGACCATTGGCCATGCTGGCCGGAGCTGATGGGAGTTGGAATCCACCAGCTTCTGGAGGTTCACAGGTTCCCCATCCATGACCCAGAAGATGATGGAGCAGTACAAGGAAACAAAGGCCATTATTTGACCCTGTTGACCCTGGGGTATATGTCTTGGAAATGACCATAAATATTCCTACCCCACAACTGAAAACAACTTACGCATGCCAAGCAGATGCTCTCCCACCGAGCTACAGCCCTTCCTGTAGCATTCACATAATCCAAATTTCAAGTGAATATTGAACCACTTCAGATATTCACGTTTCCTTTAATAATAATAATTTTTAATGTTATTATTTGTACCCCGCCCATCTGACTGGGTTCCCCCAGCCACTTTGGACTGCTTTGATGGTAGCACTTGTTTTTCCCCACAGTGATATAAGATGACTCAGGTATTTGCTGTACAAACACTGGCTCCAGAGGTCTCATTATCTTTATTTCCCCATAGTAGTGAATCCTTTGCATTGCATTTACGTAACAAAACAAAACTGAGTTTGTGCCAAAACTCAGTCGGAGGGCGTTCCTTCTGCATCGCAGGTTTTCAAACTTAACTGAAGTGTCTCAGCAGGTTTTCTGGGGATGTTTAAGAAGATCAAGCAGCAGAAGGCAAGCTCCCACAAGACACTACTTGTTACATAGGAAGCTGCCTTACACTGAGTCAGACCAGTGGTCCATCTAATTGGGTACTGGCTACACTGACTTTCATCAGGGTTTCAGGCAGGAGTCTCTCCCAGTCCTACCTGGAAATGAATGAGAGCAAACTGCAATCTTCTGTATGCAAAGCAGATGCCCCACCCCTGAGCTACAACATGGAAAGCTGCCTCATACCACTTGCATATCTTGCTTAGTATTGTCTATGCCAGGGGTCAGCAAACCTTTTCAGAAGGGGGCCGGTCCCCTGTCCCTCAGACCTTGTGGAGGGCTGGACTATATTTTGGAGAGAAAAAAAATGAGCGAATTCCTATGCCCCCAAAATAACCCAGAGATGCATTTTAAATAAAAGCACACATTCCACTCATGTAAAAACACACTTTTTTGGGCTGTCCGTGGGCTGGATTGAGAAGGCGACTGGGCCAGATCTGGCACCCGGGCCTTAGTTTGCCTACCCATAGTCTATGCTTATTGGAACTGACTCCAGGGTTTCTGATGGGACATATCCTGTCTTCCCTGGAGATGCCAGGGATTAAACCTGCAACCTTCTGCATGCAAAGATGATGTTCTACTCACAGAGCTCCAGCCTTTCCCAAAGGTCTTGTTTTCTGCTGCTGTGTCCTACATAAGGAGGGAATTGGTGCTGATACCTGAAAGTCCTGCTGAGCACCCTGTCTAAACTGGATGCTGTAAGACACATTGCTAAATTTGGAGAAATGCAGATTTTAAAGAATGGCTATGGTTTGGTTCACATATTATTTTGGAAAGTTCAAATTAGATAGGCTCGCCTGTAAACCAAATTGAATTTTTCCCTCATCCCTACTTAGTTCACTTCCAGGGGGTTCTGCAACTTTGCAGGGACTCTGTAGCACACAAGGATTCTCTGGAAGCAAAAAGCTTTTGAAAACCACTGTTCTGTCTGGAGCCACACCACATCTGCATGCCTCTTTAAACAGTCATGGTTTTCCCCCAAAGAATTTTGAGACCTATAGTTCACTAAGGGTGCTGAGAGTTTCTAGGACCAACTATTCCCCTCTCACAGCTACAATTCCCAGAGTTTCCTGCAAAGAGGGATTGACTGTTAAACCATTCTGGGAATTGTAGCTCTGGGAAGGGAATAAGGGGTCTGAACAACTTTCAGCACCCTTGACAGGCAGCGGCTTCCAGAATTCTTTGGGGGAAGCCATGACTAGTTAAAGTGGTTTTATGGTGCTTTAAATGTGGCCTTTGTGTTCAACAATTAGGCCATTCTGGGGGCAGACATAGAGTCTGGAGGCCTTTCTGCATCCCTGTTCCTTTGGCTGATTTGCTGCTCCTATATTCTTGGCTTAACACTTCTGGATCTATATGCTGCTTCTCCTAGGAGGAAGACAACTTCCTGTAACAATCTCTTCCTTTTCTAAAAGAAGTTTGTTATGTACTGAAGTTCTCACCCTGGGCCAGCAGGGGGATACTGTAGATAGTTATGCAAATAAGGGATCGAAAGTGACGTTCAGTGATTGGATTGTTACAGAAGGTTGTTACTGTTGCTTTGTAGTTGAGCTCTATATAAGCAGGCTGGCTGAACCCTTCAGTTCAGTTCTGTTCTGGCCTGTGAATAAACAAGAGCTGTTTGAAGAATCGCTGTGTCGTCTGATATGTTCACCCACAACTTAACAAAGTTGGTTAAGCAAGGAGGATCCTGTTTGTGGCCTTGAACATGAAGGCCACAAATCCTCTAGCCTACAATTTATTTATTTTTATTTTACTAAGGCTGGGTCCACACCATAGATTTTGAGTACATTCAAAACACATTCCTCCCTCCCCAAAGAATCCTGGGAACTATATTATGTTAAGGATGCTGGAAACTGTAGTTCTGTGAGGGGAAAACTACAGTTTCCAGTATTCTTTGGGAAGAAATCATGTGCCTTAAATGTGTGGTGTGTATGCAGCCTAGAGCTGCAACATTTACCTGACTCATTTAATTAATCAAAACATTCTTGTTTGATTAGGTGACAGATTCTCGCAAAAAATTGTTTTAAATATATATCTATATCTATCTGTCTATCTATCTATCTATAATACAGGGAGTTGCAAAATTTGAGAAAGAGGTGAATTCCCTATTGTAGGATAAAGCCATTTCCCCTTTAGAATGTTTGTGTTTTGTCATGTGCATACTTAATTGTTTTAATTGACTTAAGACTGCATTCCTAAACCCACACACCTGAGAGTAAGCCCCACAGAATTCAGCAGGACTGACATCTGAGCAGACATGGAGTTTTACACAATGAAGTCCTGCTCAAAGTAGAATCGTTGGAAGTCAGCACACCTAAATTACTTGTGGCTGTCAATTTCAGTGGGTCTACTCTATGTAGGACTAACGTTGGATACTGAGGAGGAGGAGGAAGCTAGCAGCCAGGGCCACCGTCTGGACTGGTTGTGAGAAGGCAGGTGGCAGGGAGCTAGCCAAGGGCAGGTGTTGGGGCAGTGCCCCATTTGCCCCAGTGGATGTGCCTCCATTGCAAGGAGCTCAAGGTGGTTTGTTCTTTGTTCTTCCTGTCCTCATTTTATCCTCACAACAGCCTTGTAACGTAAGAGAGGCTGAGACACTGACTTGCCCAGGGTCACTCAGTGGGCTTCACAGCTGCACCCAGGTCCTGGTCTGACACTCTAACCACCACACCACACTCTCTGCACCTTATGCAGTTTTCTCTGTGTTCAAAGCATCTTACTGGACCTGTGCCTCTCTCCCTTCCAGGTCATCGCAGCAGAGGGCGAGATGAATGCCTCCAGAGCCCTCAAGGAAGCCTCCATTGTCATCTCAGAGTCTCCTGCAGCTCTCCAGCTCCGCTACCTGCAGACCCTGACCACGATTGCCGCCGAGAAGAACTCCACCATTGTATTCCCGCTGCCCATAGATATGCTGCAAGGCATTGTGGGAAGGAGGAGCTGAGGGTGCTGATGGGAAGCTAGGTGTATTGAAAAGCGTGAGGCATTGTGGAGGAGAGGGGTGATGATTTCAGTGTGACCTTCGTGTCTGTTTCTTGTGGCTCTCATAAGCTCAGATCCTTTTTGTGTTTCATCCCAACAAATTTCTGCTTTCAACGTAGGTGGCCACCTCCGAAAATTCATTCTTCCCCGCTCTGCCGCCCCTTCTTATTGATGAGAGAGGTCTGGAGGGCTTGCATCTCCCAGAAAATTAGAGAGGAGGGTTTAAGAGGTCCTCAGCTACCATATGGAGCAGGGGGGTTGCCTTAAAATAATAATGTTTTCCTCCTCTCTCCTGGGAAACTTCTTTCTTGTCAGAGAGCCAGCAGTGGAACTTTCCGCTGCTGTTTTGCTCCAACCAAAGGGAAAGAATTAGCACGCTGGAGTTATGGAGACAATATGCTTGTAGCCTAACAACGTTCAGATTCCTTTTTATAGGTGTGCTTTTCTAACCTAACACAATTACAACACAGTTACAAACACTCCCCCAATACCTTTTGTACTTTCTAAAACGACACCTATTTTTTCAACACTTTCTTAAAAAATAGATTTCCGCCTATTTCTTTGGTTCTGCTTTTAAGAATGTGATCAACAGAAAGTTTGACATTCTACAGCCAGGAGAACCTGTAAATGGAGTCTTTCAGCATTTTAGAATACTTATATTTTTCATTTAATTTTTCCAGAAGATTAATGTGAAGAACTTTTCCCTTCCCCCCCTTTAATGTGAAGGAACTTTCCTTTCCACATGATACTGTTGTTGTTGTTATTGTTGTTAAATCTCAGCTTTTTTGCTAAAAGCCAGGAGTGAAGGTTTCCTGGTATATTTGCATCGTAAGTTTTGTATCCAGTGTGAATCAGAATAGTAGATTTAATTTCTAACAGGCAGCACTGAGGTTAGCTACAATATTATAGTATTAGCATGGTGCGTGAGCTATCCATAACAGAAAAACCTGTGAGAAGGTATGGCTTTTGTGGTCTTTATTACTTGTATAATAATTCAAATAAGTGGTGACAACTGTCCACCCCCACTTTGCCTCTGCCTTTAACATTTATAGAGACAGGAATTCATTAGCTGATGCTGTATCCCAGCATGGTAGCTGAAGGCTCCATGGGAGCTGAAAAGCACAGGAGTATTGCAGGAAGATGTGGCTGGTATCTCAAATGGGGACATGTGATCAAATGCCATTGTTGCTATGCAAAGTCTCAGAGCTTTTGCCCTGGGCCTTTTCACCCATCTTACACTGATTTTAGCTGGAGCGGCTGCTTCAGACACTTAATTACAAAGAGGAAAGATACGTGAGGCTTAGAAACCCTGATCAGTTCTGGCTGCGAAAGGCAGGGCATACTCACTGCTCTGTCGGTAAACAAACACCCACCCACCCACCTACCCCAAAGGGAAAAGGAACAGGGGAACAATGGCATTTGCCATCCTTACTTGTGGTTGCAGCTGAATTGGTGTTCTGGATTGTTGCTTTTCACATGTGTTGTTAAAAGCAAACACCGCTGTGACTGGAACTAGATTTAGTTTGTCAGAAGGAATGAGCAGCATCAGTGCCTTTTCAGTGTGGTGAGTTAAAGGAAGCCCAGCGAGGCAGGAATTCGGGGCATAACTCCCTAGCATCTTTGGCCAGAGCCTGGTCTCTACATGTAACAGAATGGACCATGCTACTTCAGGTTCCAGGTGCCTTTCACACTTCTCCATGCAAAATACTCCTTGCATGCAGAAATCTAGCATGGGAAGGCTTTTGTCCTTGTTGTCCTGGTTTTCTACATGCAGGGAATTTCTGAAACAGGGCATCATTTGAAACCAACTACACTTTGCAGCTACACTGCAAAGTGTAGCCCAGGGATGGGGAACCTACATCCTTCCAGACGTTGCTGGACTCCAACTCCCATCAGCCCCTTTCGCTTTGACAGTAGTCAGGGATGATAGGGGCTGCAGCCCAGCAACGACTGGATGGCCACAGGCAACTAATCCCCAGTGTGGACCAAGCAGAGGCAAGTGATGGACTTGCCCCTCCCTTGGAAGAAACGAAAACGCAATTTATGCTGAACACGCATCCACCAGAAGTGCAGTTGTTTGTGAAAATGCTTTCTTTCTCTCTCTCTTTTTTTTACCTCCTTCTCCTTATCAAAGTATAAGTCTAAAACATATATTCTTTCACATGATTACTGTATTGTTATTTTAATAAATAAATATCTTTATTTAATCTGCTGTTGCATTCGATGTTTTTACCCGCTGTCCATATGGCAAGGGTTACTCCAGACCAGAGCATTACTCTGCATTAGTCATACAGCACCATACAAGTCCCTGCCCAGAGAAACGTGCAGTTTAAAATTTGTAAGAACAGTCTCCTTGGCCAAGCCAGTGACCCATCTATTCCAGGCATCTTGCTCTCAGATGTCCATGCTGATAGCCACTGAAAGCCTCCATGGATTTGTCGTCTACTGTCTTTTAACCATCCAAGTTGGTTACCATCACTACATCCAGTGGGAAGGAATTCAATAGATCAACTGCTCTGTGTGAAGTGCTCTTTCTCTTGTCTATCCTGAATCACTCAATATTCAGCTTCATTGGGTGACCACGGCTCTAGTGTTATGAGAGAGGGAGAGTCAGCAGGATGGAGGGGAGTGTGTGTGTGTGTGTGTGTGTGCGTGTGTGTGTGTGTAAAAGAGAACAGTCATTTGTTTTGATTGCATGTAGCACCTGTCCTAGCCCCTATGAAGGTGTGCCAAAGGCATAACGGGAAAGTGCTTTCCCCACTGCATAATTCACTGAGGCAGCTTATGCCCACTGGATTGATGGGCAGAAGGCAGGGAGCCCATCAGACGTAATGATGGGTGGAGCTGACTAATTCTAGACTGCAGTTTATTTCGTTTCCCTGATGTTCCCCTAACTGTTACTTTCTGCATTATACCTGAACTTTCACACAGTTAAATGCCCTCTTCAGAAATCTAACGAAAACTAGTGGAAGTTTAGCACTCATTTTAATCATTGTGGCTCCCCCCCCCCCAAAAAAAAATAAGCTGGCAACCCCAATAACCCAGAATATTGCAGGAGTAAAGTCATGGAATGTGTGTGGGGGGGAGTAAACTGGCATGCAGTTCTTCCTTGCTGTTTTCATGGAACAGAATCACAGGTGTGAAAAGGGTGGCAGATCGGCAACATTTTCCAGTGAAGTTTGTTGTTGTTTCAAACCACACCCACTGGCGTGAATGAGGGTAACATGCAGGTATATCAGTCAAAAAGCCACAGTTACATAATGCAACAGGTACTGCAGTGTAAAAGGAACATTATTAAATGAAACAGAAGAAAGAGCATTATAATCAGGAAAATCAACACAATATTACCCATGTCTGAATGCAAGGTGAGTTTTGTCCCGATCCTCCTCTTCATCGCTGCTGAATCAGCAACACTGAGACAGAAGGAAGCTGACAGCCAGGGTCATACTTGGACCTGTTGTAAGTAGAAAGGGAGGTTGGGAGGACAGAAATCTACTGTTCATTCTGCTTCTCTATAGATCCCCAGTGAGGTCTCTGATACAGGAGCTTACTGCCTGAATAAGCCCATCACACCCCTTGACCCACAAGCAAGATTTGCTAGTTAATGTTGTTGCTTTTGAGGTGGGGGTAGAAACAGGACAGTCAATGCTTTTTTTAAAAAAACGGCATGATCGCATCTTCGCTGTGAGCCCTGCCTACACCCTGTCTTGGAGATCTTTTTCCTACCTGGCCTGGGAGGAAAGGGCCCTGACTGAATCCAACTACAAAAGCTGAGCCTTTCTCTTAGTGCAGACCCAGGTCATTGAGCCTGTGCTTCTGCAGCTGCCACCCACCATGAATCACCATTGGAAGGATTGCAGCAACAGCAGTAGATACCATATTTATTGCTCTATAAGACTCACTTTTTCCCTCCTAAAAAGCAAGAGGAAATGTGTGTGTGTCTTAGGGAGCGAATGCAGGCTGCGCAGCTATTACAGAAGCCAGAACAGCAAGAGGGATTGATGCTTTCACTGCGCAGCTATCCCTCTTGCTGTTCTGGCTTCTGACATTCAGAATATTTATTTTCTTGTTTTCCTCATCCAAAAACTAGGTGTGTCTTGTGGTCTGGTGCGTCTTATTGAGCAAAAAATACAGTACGTTCTATGCGCACGATAATACATCATTTATTATTTTGCAAATCGTGGTGTTTTAAATGTGCATCTGACATCTTTTAGTAATGCTTTCTTTTGAAATGTTTGAGATAGATTTGTTTTTATTAACTTTGTTGCATTAAATGTGCATCTGCAGTCAACCTCCTTTGTAATGTTTTGTTTTGAAATCTTTAAGATAATACTTTAGTTTCCTGTTACTTATATTGCTGTGAATGTATCTGACTTCCTTCAGCAATGTTTTACTCCGGATTGTTTTATTTGATGTTTTGATGTGTTGTAAACTGCGTTGATATGTTTTTCTTTAAAATATTAGGCTGCATAGAATTAATAATAATGATGATAATAATAATAATAATAATAATAATAATAATAGCTCTTCTGGTCGCTGCCAACAATAAGTGAGAAATAGGAAGAGAGTAGTGAGGACATTGTTCTATTTATGCTACCAACCAAGCTCCCCTCGTGGATCTCGCTCCCAAGCAACAAGGTTGAATGTTGACTTTGCTGGGGTATTGGAATTTACCAGCTGAAAACTTCATTATGAATGGCTGGCTGGCTTTCAATGCTGAGCCTTGTTATACAGTGGCAGAAAGCGGTGTGTGGCAGGCATGTTTGTGCTGGACATCAGTGTCTCCTGAGGTGAGAATTGTGGCTGGGAAACAGCTTACAAAATTATCCCCAATTCAGTTCTTAGGGTCTCATGCCAGTGGCTGAATTGGCCTGCTTCTCTATTTCAATCGGTCTTGAAAGCATACAAGGTCTTGCATATTATGGCACCATTCACACCATACATTTAAAGCACTATGATGCTACTTAAACAGTCTTCTGAAGAATTCTGGGAGCTTTGCCAAGGGTGCTGAGAGGAGTCCCCTTTCCTCACAAAGAACTACAATTCTCAGAGTCAGGGGTGCCAACTTGAACAAAATGGGGGGGCGCAGGTAAGTTCTGCCTCACATGATCAATCACACATGTGCACCAATGCCCATCACCTTTGGGAGTGGGTGGGCTGTCCCCCTCAAATATGTTATTGGGGTGGCCCAAAGGGACCTCAGCCCCTAGGAATTGGCTCCTATGCTCAGAGCGGTTCAACAATTCCCCTTCCCAGGGAACCCTGCCCGCTGTAACAGCTGATAGAACACAGTATTCATGGGAATATGTTGCTAATTAGTCATTCTTATCAGAAGGAAAAGAGGAATCTCCCTGTAATGTAGCTGTGACCTTGATGAGCTATCTAAAGTTGGTACTTCACGTATCAGGCTATATATCATTCTTAACCACCTTCAGCCTATTTGCAAGCTTGGTTCACTGCATAGTACACAAAAATAAGGTTGCTAGACTCATATCTAATGCTCTTTGGACTTCATCTGAAAGTGACGTTCTGGTCTACAGCTGCGCTGACTGCAGGCAGTTATCAGTGAATGATCCAATTCAAACTCAAAACAGATATCCATTTAAGTGCATTCAGGTGCCCCAAATTTGGGCTTCCCTCTCCAAAATAAACATTAGGCATACTGGAAATGCCCCCAAAGGGATTGTCCATTCTGCTGATCTAGATGAATAGTTCTTCAAGGAACACCTGCTTATGATTTATTCTGGTAAGGCTGCTGTTGGTTTCACTTAAACAAACAAATCTTGGATGTTTTCATGTAAACAGACTACATACATGCATACACACACACACACACACACACACACACACACACAGTCACACTGCATTATGAGTTTTGTGGTTTTGAGCCTGAATAAGCAACAGTGCTCACATCTGAGAATGCATAAGATGTGTTTCCTAAATGAATTCTCAGAGATAGATCTGCCCTTGCCAGAAAGTTGACTTTTGTTGTCGTTTAGTTGTGTCCGACTCTTCATGACCCCATGGACCAGAGCACACCAGGCACTCCTGTCTTCCACTGCCAGGGAGTCTTCTTTTTTTTTTTTTTGGAAAAGATATTTATTAAAATTTTCCACTGTAATACATTTTAAAAAAATCAAAAAACAAAAAACAAAAAAGTTTAAAAACACATAGAGTTCACAATCCTTATTTTCTATAACATATTTCCCTGACTTCCCCACACCTCCCCCTCTTGTATTCCAGTTCAAATTGTTGGTTCAACAAGTTCTTATCCCCAACAAGTTCTTATTTTTAACCTTTTTATATTTAGTTCATTTTAAAAAAACCAATTTTGTCTTATAAACATCAATATTTATACATCAGTGCTTATTCTTAAAACCTTTTTCTAAAGTCGGTCTAAATTCCCTTCCACAATTTCCCCAATTTTCATACAAATAACAAAACAAAATAAAAGCAAAACAGGTTATAATTATACACCCTTTGGATTCCCAAACTCCACCCCCCCTTTCCCGGTTTCAATCCCCAACAAACGTCCATCAGTCAATCTACTATCAGCCTGGAGATCTCACGTCCGAGGCTCTTAATTCTCTCTCAA